GCAGAAAAACAGAAGAAGAAAAAGGAAAATATTAAAAAAGAGAAAAGATGAAAGAGGAGATAGAAAGGAGACAATGATTAAACATTTTCAGTCTGCTTCATAACCTGCAACGAGATGAAAAAAGAACAGCACAACCGAAAGACATGGTACGAGACATACAATAAAGCAACACCTTGAAACTATCGCTAAAGTAGTATTATTAAGTCTGACATGTACTCTGTGTTACCTGAAGATATGAACATCATGCAATCTTATGCAGAGATTTTATCCTTGAACTGGAGAAACCGTTGCGTGTCAACCGCAGGTTACCAACCCCTCCACCACTGAAAAGCAGCTTTGGAGAGACAAAGAAAACAGTGCCAGGTGCTTCAGCGCTGCAAAAAAAAATAAATAAAAAATGCTCATATGACGTTTGTCATTAATGTGAAAAGGTGGTGTCCAGGAAATGTTCGCGGATAATCAATCACTTACTGTAAATAGAATTAAAAGTTCAAACTTCAAACCTGTGTGGTAAAATAGTCTTATTTATTTTAATGATTTATTTTTAATACAAATTTAGACCACAAATAATAATAACATACAATACAGCTTTTAAAAAATATATATTAGACCCGTTTTAAGATCTACATATCCACAATGAGTTTACTGTATATCGCACACTACAACCATTTCAGTTGGTGACATCATCACTACTCTTGCATTCAGGGTTCCCGCAGGTCCTTAAAAAGTCTTAAAAGGCATCTTCAAAATAAAACTAAGGCCTTAATTGGTATTAAAATGTCTTAAATCAGTCTTTCGTTGGTCTTAGTTTTTAAAACATCATAAATAGGATTATTTTTATTACGATTTATTTTTATGATCTAAATAAAACGTTAAAATTGAATTTATTTTTTTTTTAAATTAAAAAATAACGGCTCACCATTATTGGTTCCGTCCCGATAGCGTAACCGATAAAAGCATTGTTGCAGCCGTGGCATTTGGGAGATGCGCCATTAACTTTTTGTCTGAAAAATATGAGCAAGTGTAAATGTAACCAAAATTGTCTCCAGCCAAGAGTTTTCTCCATGGCTAAAACCAGGGAACATACATGAGGCTCAGTGGATTTATGCAAGGAGCGATTCAAGCTCAGAACGATGGGAAGTAAGGCAGTGGAGTCACACATGTTAAGCACGAAACACAAAGCGTCAAAATCGGTATTTCTCAGTTTTGTTCCACCCTTGTCTCTGCAACGCCTCCACTTATCACTAAATCAAACA